AAAATTACTATTACAGCCAAGTTTATTTTATATTCCATATAACATTTTAAAATTCCAAGTAAAAGTTTATTGTCTCTTATCTTTAGCTTAATAATTTCCGAAAATTCGAGCTATTTTCAGAATGTCAATTTGGGATAAGACAAGTTAAGGTTAAATGTTATTTGAGTTGTTTCATGTATGAGTTATCGCATATTGTACAAATTAATCTTCCAATGCATACCAGCCACCCTTTCCAGATCATAACTTATCTTATGTCAAACATTAGCTTTCCGAAAGATAATAATGTTATGTTTTCTAATCACACTCTAATTTAAAATATTGAGAGGGGGCGAGGATATTGTTTAAAAAATCGGGTTTAGGATAACTCGCCCAATATTTCGAAGAACAAAAATTAAAACAAATAACAATTAATCTACATGAATGAATAAAATATATAAACTGGAATAACTTAAGAAAATGGGAAAAGTTAAAGTTAACTCCAGGTATTTTATCACGCTCTCTCTTCATATCATACAAATTTTAATTTATGTTCAAAGATAATTATATTGTACATATAGTTTGGTATTATGGTGTTCGTTTTATAATAATTTTTATACACATTATAAACTACCAAAAATTTTTTGTGGGGTCCATCCTCTCTTCCCCCAACCAGAATGGAAAGTTTGTACCTATGATTCTATCTGTAGAACAGAATAAATAAAGTTAATGATTTTAAACTTTGATCATTCAGTTGGCTGATCCTTTATGTTTTGTTTGTCATTTTTAATGGACTTTCACAATTGACCAGATACTTTTCTGATTTTGTTTTATTCGAACTGGAATATCTATGGAATCAAATGTTTAATTCTAAAGCTATCTAATATGTGAATAGTATTCTAAACGGTGCTCCCTTCTTGTACCAGTACAATGTATCCCCCCGCTATATTGGGACAATAGGAGACACAATATTCCAATAGGACGGGAAATGTCACCATGATGGGTAGAGGGGGGAGGCGTGTCCCATTGTCTCTGCTGGGGGGTTAGTCTGCAACCAAGATGGCCGGTTGTCAACCCTAGCAACATTCTATCCCTTGTCAACCGTTACAATGTTACACATTACGTACAATATAATGATTACATTCGATAAAAGTTAAGTTCAAACACTCATAGAGATTTAAAAAAAAAAAAAATACTTCCTCTGCCCATGTGGGGAGAACGAGAGATGTAACTGATAAAATTGCAATAAGAGATGTCATATTAAATAATCAAATAGACCAATGGAAATACATATTTTAGAAACCTGAAAAGGTGATGATAAGAGTAAACCATCCGAAATTACTATTGATTTTTAATATATTTATATTATATTTATAATCTAAAAATTGTATTTTGTCCTGATAAAGTATTTCTTGTATAAATGTTGTTTGCCATTTATGGATGTTTTTCTTAATGATCATGTTGGATGATGATGGATGTTTTAAAAAAATTTTTCAAGTGGTCCAGCTCTTAAATGAAATCATTCTTAGCTTTCAGAGACAAGATTTTTTTTTATTAAAAAAACATTAATGACGCATAAATCGTTAGTGTATTATTAAAAAAAAAAACTATTTATATTATAAGGATCATTTCCCAGCTTAAATTATTCTTATAATCAAACTGAAATCTATTTAAACTTATAAACTATTATCAGAAAATCGATTCAGAAAAAATATTAAATATTCGATCAATATTTTCTTAGTTAGTTAAAATAATATTTTTTTAAATTTTCTTCTATAAAAAAAACTACTTCTATATTTTACACAATAATTAGCATAAAATTTAAAAAGATATGTAACATTAAAATTTAAGTTTTTTAATAAAAACAACAACTTCCTTGAAAATATGTATGGTTTTTAATATCTTTAGTTAGGACTTCGATTCCAATTATATTAATAAAAACATTTGATCCTTAGACCTAATTTATTTTTTCCTTTACACCTACAAAACGTTTCAGCACTTTAGGCTATTTTCAAGGGAAGAAATCATAATCAATAAAATAAAGTAAACATTGTGACTAATTTGGTTTTGTTACATTATTTTATCCAATGAACATAATTTATAATACAACATAATAGATAGAAGATATAATACAATATTATAGGAAAAAATATTGCAGAATGCGACAAGGGCATATTAGTCCAAATGTTTTTTATTTTATAATGTAAGATTTATTCCCTGGAAAATAGCCTAAAATACTGGAAAGTTGGGTGTAAAGAAAAAAAAAGTAGGACTGAGAATAAAATGTATTTTATTATTAAAAAAAAATATTATAAACAAAAACATTTTCAGCTCAATGCATTGATAATTTAAAAAATGTCCATACTTCAATTACGTGCAGATATGAAAATTAAATGTATTATATATTTCATAATGATGTAGAGATGGTTGACCGTTGATATAATATGAGAAGGAGTTAGTCGGGGGTGCGGTCAAATAAATACTAAATTAAAATATAATAAATTATTTTAATTTTTGCCGATGTTTCGACCCTTTGCAGGTCGTCTTCAGGTCTACAAAAGATACAAAACATATTGGAAATAAAAAACAAATATAAGTAGATATAAAATAAGAAGAAGTTGTCAGATACAGAAATAAAAGATACTATCAGAGATATAGTGGGTGACAATGTAGTTAAATATTAAGTATTATATGTGTAGAAGATACAAATAAATGGAAAATAAGTATGAATAAAAATAAAAATAAAGGAGAATATAGCATGTAAGTTTAAAGTAAACAGATTGCGATATAAGATAAGGAATAAGTGTATAACAAACTAATAGAGATTACATTTTACATAAATGTGGGTTAACAGATAAAGAAAATGAATGTTAACGAATAACGATTTTCTACGAATATGTATTTTCTTAAGCGCAGAGAGAATTATCAAGGATTTTATATCTTAAATTATAAATTATCTTTATAAAATTTTTTTTAAAAAAACATTAAAAAAAAATCATGCCTTGTATCGTCCGTTAATTCATTTGTCACAATATTGTAATAGAGAGTAAAAAAAAGACTATGAGAGATGACTACAAATAGAGTGGCCTATAAGAGCTCAGCTAATGACAGTTAATTGCTAGGTTGGTAATTAAAAGACATTAAGCCCGGAGCAGTGACTCGCCAGCTTGTCAAACCCCTGTACCTTACTCTTCTCCTTCACTCCCCGACGCTTACAGTAACAGCTCAGTTTAAAAGCTTATAACGGAATGGCTTGCTATGATTGGCTTATCGCGTAAACCTTTTGGTAGGAACTGCTCTGACATTTGTTTCTAAATATAGCCTCCGAAATGGATCTCAATGCGTGTTTAGGATTGGTTAATTATTATATTATTTTTCCTTAATAATTATTTTAACAGTTTAATAAACAACAAGTTATTTCTAAAGTAGTTCATCTTTAACAATTGATGAGAATTTAATAATTTAGGCTTGTCGAAATAGATCCGAGGAATCTAGGACAGTAAACAAGCCAATCGTGATTTTAACCAATAAATTATGTCACATCACAGAGCTAGTTACATCAATTAAGAAAACATCTTTTGATGGTTGATGTTCAAATATAATCTAAATTTTCAACAATAAAATCGGATCGCAACGAACGGTCCACAACCTAAAAAATATCGAGAATTATATATTTTTTGAATTTGAATCGGATTCCTTCAAGTGAAGCAGTGGTAGTTCTCAGGTGGTCAACAAGTGACGAAAGTAATACGTCTCAGACAAAACTCTTGTTACATAATTGTTTCCAATTCGAATTATTTTGTTCAAAACTAAAATTACTCAAATCCTTAACAGACATTTCGAATGAAGAAGAAGCGACCATCGTCACTTAGTTCCGATTCCACAACGAAATGAAATACTGCATTAAGATAAATAAATTTATGGAAATTCGTAATCATGTTTTTTTTTTTTCGAACAGCTGTAATAGAATAAAAAAAAAATCAATGCCTCCTTCACAGAATACATTGCATTTAAATATGACTATATTAAATATCTTCTTGTTGACTAACCAATTTACTATACGAATTATTTACACGGGTCAAATAGTCAACTTATGATATAAGTTATATTATATTCCCAATGATAAATTAGATAATTATGATCAGTACTACTAGTGTTGCCCAAATGCGAGACAGAGACGAGTCTTGGTCTTGCAAACTTAGTCTTGGACAATGTCTTGGTCCTGAGCAACAGTCTTGCAGTTACTAATTACCTTATTACTGTAGAGATATTACTGTAATTTTTTAGATAGGAGAAACCTAACTAAGTCGGAATGAAAAATTAGAGGAGTTAAATGCAAAAGTATATTAGTTATATTAATTATTTACATATAGTAAACTATTTAGACTTAATTTTTATTCGAAAAATCTTTATTTTTTAATAGTCCTGGTCTTGGTCTTGAAACAGTTAAGCTGCCTTGCAAGACCAAGACCGATTTTGGGCAACACTAAGTATTACGGAAAAAGTAAATATTATGAGACATTTTTCGGAAGTTAAAATTGATTTTTAAATAAATATTTAAAAAATCCTTTGATTAAAAAATTAAGTGAAAATATAAATATAAATGATTGGAAATATGATCCTGTATCCTGAAATATTCATACTGATAATTTAGTTCAGTTAGGCCATACGTGTATAGAGATATACTTCTCACGGTTTCGAAAGATTCATCCCATATATTTTAAAATTTCGAAATTGATAATGCGCGAGAATAAAACAGCTATGAATACATGGGTTTACATGGCTTCTACCCTGAATTTTATTACATAACAAAGGTTGATTTTTTTGTTTTCCTTTTAATTTGAATAATATTTAATGTTGTATTAAACTAATTAGGATAAGCTAGAAAATAAGTACCAGAATGTAGCAGATAGATTATTATAAATAAAGTTTGAATTGATTTTTATATGAGTTATGAATATGGGATGGTTATCCCCACCTCGATACCAATATACCCCGCCGCTCACCAATAGGGAGCCAACTGAATGGAATGCTATGGCCTCATGCCATCTACAAGGCACGCTTTGCTAATTGATTTTGCTCAGCTTAAAAGTAAATTCTTTTCTTACTCATTGAGAACAACTAAATTGCTACAAAGAATGAAATGAGCAGCAGGTCAGAGGAATTTCTCGCATTCCTAAGTCGATGCTGTGCTAGACATATTTTACGAGTTACACTGCCATAACCCTCTTCCTCTTTTTCAGTAGAATGTGTAATATTAAATAATATGGAGTCGTTATAGGCAGATTTTAGTCTTGAAATTATTTTTAAATTATAAGATTACAAGTAAATATCAACGAATGTGTGTTTTTATTATATTAGGTATTTATCTAAAATTATTCCAAAATCTCACTCAATCTGATAATTAATTATTATTAACATGATAACATAATTATTATACTCAAATCTTTCGTTTTGTGAATAGTATACAATGATTGATGTCTAGACTTCAAATTATATAAAATTAATTATTTTAAAATAAACTCGGTATAGTCAGCCCAGTCAGCACATTTTACGTAAAATACAACTGTTCATTTAATTGTACAGCTCTTTGCTTATCAAAAGAGGCAACCAAGAGACTATTTTACAGTAACTTACATAGACACATTAACACACTTAGTATACAAAGTATGGCTACATTTAACATTCCCGAAAACATACTTAAGAGGCTCAAAAGCAGCTGGATGAGAGATTTGTTCGCTTAAAATAGGAAGGGATAAACGCTGGGCACTCTACTTCCTCACGGCGATCAAGAAGAAAGAATTTTTATTCGTTTTTCGAAATCTACGCATCCTGAAACGTGAAACCTCCAATTTTAAGAGGAGGTTATTTTTTGAATTTTTTGGTCGATCAAAATGGTTGATTATTGAAAATAATAAACCAACATAACATATTCATGCATTATACAATTATATTCTAGTTTGGTATTTTTTCTTAAATATTACAAATAAAATTATATAGGGCGATACAATCGTTTAACACTACTTACTTATTAGCATTCAAGTCAGTTATTCGCACGTTTCCATTATGCCTAGTTTTATCATTGGTATTTGTGTGTGTGTGTATTAGGTGGGGATCTTAATCCCCGAATCTGAATACATAAAGGTAGATAAGCGGATAATGTTGGCATTGAGGTGAAGAGACCAAAGCGTGAAATGAACTAGACTTGATACCCACTTCTCAAGCAGTGGAAGCACCGGTGGTTAAGTAGCGGAGATTAATGTTTATTCATACACAACATTGACAGAGGTGGAAGAAGCAGCCGGAGCCATCCCCCTTCCCCACCCACCCCTGATTGCCGCTGCTATTCCGGTCCCCTGACGGATAGCCGGGACAGATAATTGTGAGCGGGAGCGTCAAACAGCGTCGCGAGCCATTTCCTCCAGCCACCCGGCCCGCTATACGTCTTCATTGCCGAGGAAATTTGGCGGTTGACTCGTCGTTTGTCAGCCTCCGCGGGGCATTGTGATGCCAAGCTAACGGTTAATTATCTGTGTAGCCCTGCTCCCACCTCGGCAGGGCCCATTGCTGCTCTAGGAACACGGCCAACTCCCCAGCTCTCGGGTTTGTTCACCAGCCTTTAACAAATTAGCTTAATAAGTCAAGGCAGTGTTTGAAGAGTGTTCCCTTGTCTCGGCTCCTTTGAATTACCCTTTACTTAATTTTGTATTTTTAACGCATTTTTTTTTTCAGACCCTCATAACATTTGTTTGAAGAGCGCTGATAATAAGGTTCCGAGTTCTATTAATTTCAACTACTGTTGAAACCGGTTTATCCCAAAACAATTCACATGGGAACTCCTACTAAATTGAAATTTTGGATAAGAGATGATTTGAGAATATGGGATGAATGAATGAGTCAATTCATGTTTTCGATGACGTTTATTAAAACCACTTACGAAAGAGATTACATTTTGTTTGGCGAAACATTTATTTTTACTTCGTGTATCACACTAAAACGAGGCAGGAATTATAGTGAAAAAAATGGGACAAATTCCGGGCGCCAGAATTCAAGCGCGACAAATTTCAATAATTTATTTGTTTTGTTGTTTTACTTAAAAAATTCTAATCTGACTAGTCAACGTTAATATATATATATATTTTTTCTGATTCTCCATAATTTATTTGGCAATATATACATTGGTAAAAAATAATGTATATTCCCTGGACCACATTTCTTTAACTGCCCGAAGGCTTCAAAGAATAGGAGTGGTGTTTCTTTAATACTAAAGTGTTGCTGTGGCACTGGGGCTTTTTATTTTTTACTAGGCAAGGAAAAATTATACTGCTGGTCTTTTGATAATGTTGATATGTTTTTGTTTCTGGTTCTCCTTTATTTCAACTTTATAAACGAATTACAATACATAATACAAATATACTCTCCTTGCTTTGTCCTTCTACTATATTTTGAGGAATTAATATATATGTCAATATATGAATTATTGAAGGAAGTTAGTCGATTGTTCTACATTGGAGGTATTCAAGTACTCCCTACCAGTACTTGAATACTTTAATTGCTCGAAACACGTCCTAATGATGACCCACATGTTTGGGTTCGTCGGCACCAATAAAAACCTTTAAAATGACTGCATCCTGGCTATTTTTCACCCATGATATGTCAATGTATGTTTTAAGGTCTCAGTCCAAATAACCAAGTCTCACAAAATAATTTGTGATTATGTGAATAGTCTAGTTAAATACGAAAAATCGTACTGAATTGAAATTACATATTTAAGGTAGTTGTACACCCGGAATGTTACAGCAACCTTTCCCCTAATTTCGGCTATCCGGAAACACCACTTTATATAATCGATTTTACACATTTTTGCAATGTTCTCGTAAACGGTTCTATCGATTTTGATTAATCTCGTTGTACCAACAATTAAGTGGTTTTTAATATCTGCTTGTTATTATCCTTATTGATGTATGCTCTCATGTAAAAGAGGAAGTGGAATATAATATATTTCATGTTGTTTTTCGAAACATTTACTGTGTTTAATAACCTTAGATAAGATAATGTATTTAAATATTAGATATATATCGTCTACTTATTAAATATTCATATGATATATATGTATATATATATATATATATATATATATATACTATTTCTTCATTTAGAAATTCAGCGACAACTAACCCATTCTTTCTATTTCCAGGTCTGGTTCCAGAACGCCCGCGCCAAGTGGCGGCGGATGGTGCTGAAGCAGGAGGGAGGGGGCGGAAAGGACAAACTGGGTGAGGGCCCCGGCGGACTTGAGGGCTACCACCACAGCCTGGGGCCCCACGGGAGCCCCTACCTCAGCCCTTCGCCCCTCGAGTGCAGCTCCTGAGCCCAGGGGCACGACCTCTTGTCTGCTATCCTCCACTTTCAGGCGGTCGGTCAACTCTTCAGTCCCTAAGCGGGGCTCGAACCAATGCCGTGCTCGTGTAATTCGGTGTGCTTAGCTAGACAGCGCAAAAAGTGCAAGTCTACACTCAAGATAAATGACATACGATTCCTTAAATAGAAGTTGGAAGACTCGAAAGAAATAAAGGATTATTGCCTTCAGTTTTGTATTTGTCCTAACTGTATAATACAATTCTGTAAAAAATGAATTTAACCTAGAACTTCAAAGGTGAAGGAATGAACGTTTGATCTTTTACTGTACTTCTTTAATTACATCGTTAAAACTTTGTATCCACTATATCATATAGAATTTATTATTGTTTCTAATCAGTGGCAGGAATGCAAAATATAATTTCAAATTATGAGTAAAATCTAATGATAGTAATTCACACTTTGTTAAGTTTTTAATTTTTTGAATCGTTATCGATTTCATGACTTCTCAGCGAGAGGCCTTGGGGCATATCCTTAGAGTTTGGGTAATGTCTGATCTTGAGCAAAAAAGAGTGAAGAGTCATCGAAAATCTCAATTTATAATTCACAGGAGTATTTCTTTAAATTGTATTCATGAAAATAATATTAACATAAGTATTAATAAAAGTATAGAAATAATTTAAAATTAAGTTGGGAATTCTCAACTTATTTTCTAATTATATTTCTTTCATTGCCAATTCGAAAACATATTATATACTGTTAACTTGTAAAAATAAAAATTGTTTTCTGAATTAATTTTTCTATTATAGAAATGGCAATTTTTTTCTTCATGATCTAATCAATGAAATTGCCTCCGATAATATGATATGCAATTGTGCTACAGTAATTAAATATGTGCTACGATATATTTTTTATCGAATATACTTATTTATATATATGAGCACGTAGAATTCAGTATATCTTTGAATACATAAATCAATAGTAAAAGAATATAAATTAATGTTTACTGTAGTTATTAGAACATGTTGAAAAAACACATGTCTGAAGTATGCAACGAAATCTTGAGTTAAAGAAATAAAAATATAATCCTCTAAGCATTCCTGAGTGTTACTTTTTGTTATATATATAATAAAATATTCATATATGTTAATTATAACCAATATTACTCTTGGATGTAACTGTATTGAAGTGCAGTAATACTAACTAATGAAATAATTAATTCATTGTGACTAATTAACGATGTCATTATACATGAATAATTTTTGAAATCATTATATTTGTTGTTTTAATATTTTTTTCAGAAGACATTTTAGTACTATTAATCATAGATCTGATGTCTTCATCAAATCACAGGTTTTGATTTATGAAATCATGTTGACAAATAAATAATGTGAAATCGAGTTAATGTAACCATTTATAGAAAAAGAAACAAAAATAATGGTTTTTACATGAAATACATTTTGTATATTGAGCACTACCCATGCAAATATAAATTTTGGGTAGATCTGAATGAATATGTAATTAATTGTACAGTTTAACTTATAGCTTTGTGTATTATTATGTACCTTGTCTATTTCCTACTAGAGGATGTATTGGAAGTAAAAGAGTTTCGTTATGTTTGTAGGTTTAAAGTCAGTGTGTGCAATGGTATGGCTAGTTTTGTCTATTCGAGAACTTTAATTTGTAACAGTGACAGTGTTATTAAGTAACGGAAAGGTGACAAAAGAACAATTACTGTATAACGAACTATTTGTTGTTTTGATTATATATAATATTTATCGTGTATGGAAATAAATTGTTCTATTTTCTTCTATAAATATTTTCTAAAGGCAAACCTTTTTTTTTTGTCACCGTCTTAACAAATGAAGGCCACGTGATTGAGAATAAAAAAATTGTGATAATCTATTTATTTCCTAAACTACACAAATATTTCTCTAGGTGAGCTTTTATGTATATGATGTGATGTGTATGGTGTAAATATTTATACATATAAAGAATATATAAATATATATATATATATATGAATATACATAAAAAATTAAATTATAATATAATTGGTGTAAAATATGTCCAGCGAATAATGTATATAAATATAAAAATAAATTAAAGGAATATTGTTAATAAATATTATTATTATTAAACTTTATTGAAGTATTATTGATTTATCCAGAATTCACCCTCCTTATACTTAATTGCAGGTTAAAATCAGCTATTGATTTTTTTGGCTTTATACTCTAGATGTTATGCACGCAAACAACACAAAATCAGAATCCATAAAGTTTCTTCACAAAACATTTCTTTGTTTCAATTTATTTTGTTACTTGGAAAGACACATCATTATTTTTTCAAGAAGAGAAAATATATTCTTTTATATTAGTATGTACAAAAGTTCAGCTTCTGCTAGACTAAATATATACATAATTAACAAGAAATATGGACAAGTCAGTGAGATTTATACCGAAGTCTTTTTACCTATTTCTTTTGATTCTTATGTTGATAACGCTGAATCTATTGAATGTTTTTGTTTATCTTTACTTATTGAGGTTACCAGAAAACTTTAAGAATGTTTCTCAGTTCAGTTTTAACTAATATTAGAAAAACAGCTATATCATAACCTGTATCAAAAACCGTGCACGTCTAAAAATATTAAAATTGTGACGTTACATGAAGTAAAGAATTTTTCATAGTGAAGAGAACAGTGTACCACCAATCAACGGTAGTCAAAGCTTTTAGAAAAAAGGGCACCATCCAGCGAAAGAAAAAATTGAGAAGAGAAAAAACAAAGGAACAATTTGACTGCTTAATGGTACGATTGTTTTTAGGATATCGTTTCAAAACTGGCAAACAAATATCCGGAGATCTTGCAGATATCAATCTGGTAAATAGAATGACATTTAATAAAATTTTTACTGGATAATACAATTTCTATGACCTTTACTATAAATAGGTGTTTATACTTGAAAAACTTCACTTATAAAATGTGTTATTAAAATTATTCAAACATTTTTTACTCTGAAAAATTTCGATAACATTTGTTTATTATATTTACTAACGTTTGGTTTCATTTACTTAAGTTCGTTGAAAATAATAATAACACGTCTTCTTTTTCTTCTTTAGTTTTTAAAATAAATATCTATAAATCAGTATAAAATTAGGTATCGTATAGCTAATTACAATAATGTTATAAAAATGTAGCGAATAGTAACAGGTAACATTTCGGTATTAATTCACCTTGGTTGGTTGTTTTGATGTCTTAGGCGCAAAATATCTAGGCCATCTGCATCTTATCCACAAAGGTAGTATTATTAATATATTTAGATGCTAGATTTAATGGAGGAAAAAAATTAATAAAACAAATAAATAATAAATAATATACAAATAAATTATATATAAAGGGGAAAAAATTAAATACAAGAAAAATATAACTAAAAATTATTATTATAATTCTTTTATCAAATTTACCGTTATTAAAACTGCTATTATTTTGTCAGATCTATTGTTGTCATTACCCAACGCTATTGATATATTTTGTGATATCTCTAAATCATTTAATTTACGCGTATAAAACGGGCAATCTTGGAAAATGTGAGTTATGGGCAGGATACTATTGCGATACTGAAATCTAGATGATGCAACTTTGGTGATGAGGTGGAGGTGTGTCAATCTTGAATGTAGGATCCTAAGCCGGGTAAGGAATACTTCCTCTCTGCGAACGCTGCGACTAGAAGAGCTCCAAGGTTGGACATCTTTCTCTATAAGTTTCAGTTTGCTTGGAACACTCTTTCCCATACGTCCTGCCACTCCTTTTGGATATTCTCTTTAAGCGGACGTGAGAGATCGAATGGTTTTAGCAGGGTCCTACCACGACCTGGGAGCGAGAGTGCTTCTTTTGCTAATTTATTGGCAATTTCATTGCCTTTTATGCCGACATATCCAGGTACCCATAAGTAATTAAATGATTTCCCGTAATCAGTCATGAATTTTCCTATTTCTAATATTTCAGGATGATCAGAATGCATGTTTGCTAAACTCTTTAGAGTACTCGAGGAATCTGAAGCGATTACTATTGTTTTGTCAGGCATTCTTGATGAATTCACTCTATGGCCATAGGAATGGCATTTACTTCTGCAGAATAAATACTACTGAATTGACGTAACTTCATTCTATGTGTGGTATCTTTGGTCACATATGTCGATGATGTTGCTAAGTCAGATTGGTATCCGTCAGTGATAATGAAATGATGTTCCGGTAATGCATGAATTATTTTTTAAAATTTATCTCTCAGATCTGATGCTCTTGTTTTTTCATTGTTAAATTTAGTTAGTTGTATATTTATTCGACGTTGTAAAAATGACCATGAAGGTGTTTGATTTTCTGTTGAATTTATGGTAGTTAATTTTAACTGTTGAACTACCGAGGATACTCTCTCTGATACTGGTAGGTTAGTTAGCATTGGGCTTTTGGAATGATGAAGAAAATTTTGGCTTGAATATGTCTCTGTGGGAAGGATGAGTAGTTTGCAGGTATAGTTTTGTTCAATAGTTAATTGCTAATTTGTCATGATGGAACGATAGCGGAGCTATTCCTGATTCGGTGCAGAATCTTAGTGACGGACTAGTACCGAAGGCTGCGGTTGCGATCTTATACCGTTATGGTGTACGGTATCGAGTTGTTTAAGTATACTATTTCGGACAGAAGCATAAATAAAACAACCAATTAATTTAAGGTAACGTGCAGGCCCTTACTGGTTGTAAAAAGGTTTGGTGTAGTTTTTTTTTGACCAAATAATGAATGAGCAAAAAGATAGACATTGGAGAGGGAGGGGATGAACGCAATCCCAATAAAAATACAGAAGCGGCGAGAATATCGATTCGAAAAACAAAAATCAAATCAAATTCAATAACAATTAAACTAAATGAATTAATAAAATATGCAAACTAAAATCAATTAGAACATAAAAAAAAGTCTACCAGAGGGCTAAGCTAACCCCTAGAAGTAGAATGCGAGTATTTT